AAGGATAATCGAAAGCAGGGAGAGATGTAATGAGACCACCCCCACCCAGAACACTCCCGTTACATTTGTTGCCCAAAGAGTTGACGGTGTAACGTAATATTATTCATTATCGTTTTTACACTCTGTTGGAGAATGAGTTGCAGAGTGTAGGGGCAGAGATGCAGAAGGTTCTCTCAGCCTGCACGGAGGTGAGACAGGGGCCAGGGCTGGAGGAGGGCGGGGGTGTGCTGAGGAGGAGGAGGAGGAGGTCAATGAGGCAGGAGAGTCCAGCTCATGAAGATGGATCAGACGTTTCATATTTCACACATGTAGATGATCCAGAGCAGAACCTCAGTGAGCTGCTAAATGAACAGGACACACTCCAGCGGACAGTGTCATTAGAGGCAGAGTGCTCATGTCCGTGGTGTGGAGGGAGCGCGGCGGGCTAATGTGTCAGAGCTGCGTGGGGGTGGAGCTAATCAAGGAGGCTGGCTGTTCAGAGTCTTCCCTGACACTTCACCCATCTGTATGAATGCCCGATACTGTAATTGGTGCTGCTCAGAGTTGCCATAAGAAATAACCTCAGAAAGCTGCGGAGGGCCCAGAACATTTGTTTACATAACACACATTGTTTTTGAAAATGCATAGATATTATTTTCTATAGTGTATTCTACAATGACATGACATTTTACTACTTATACTGTAAGGATGTATTTAAAACCCCAGTATGTGAAATGTATTGTATTAGTATTTATTATACTGAAAAACACACTGCAAAAACACTTAACCACAATTTAAGATATAAACATTATTAATTATCTGTCCGTGCACCAAGATCATTTCACTTGACAAATTATCTTAAAATAAACTACAGTATTTTTTAAACTATAAGTCACACTTTTTTTTTTTTTCTGGTTTGGATGGCCCTGCGACTTATACTCTGGTGTGACTTATATATTAAAATTTTTACACTGAAAGGCTCAAGAGGGTGCTCTAATCTTGTGTGTCAGTATCTGCTGCTCTCATTACTCCTGTACCACTGTCACTTAGCTCTACTGCGCATGTCTCCTGTGGTAAAAGCCACTGTCCTGCTGCAAGTAGTGACATATTCAGCAAAAAACGGTAATTGTGCAGCAGAAAGAAAGTTTGGAATGAGTGAGAAACTTGTGACACAGGGAGGATACGCCATGCAACTTTCCTGGAAGTCATTGGATGGATCGACAAAGCCTGGACTTCAGTGACAACCAAAACCATCCTGTCGGGATTCAGAAAGGCTGGAATAATTCTACCTGGAACTGATGCTCAGTCTGATGACACCTACACAGAAGATGAAGCGGCGCTCTGTTTACCTCTGGAGGTCATGCAGAAGTGACACTGAGGATGAAGAATTCAATGGATTTAGTGATTTGGAGTGAGATCAAGAGTTTGGTAAACTTATGTTCTGTTGTTAATGCTATAGTTATTTAAATAACTGTTCATATTTGACGTAAACATACTAGATGCCTTCTCTGTTCTATTGTTATTACTATAACTTGTCTTTCAAGATGAGATGTCGGTACCTGGTCTCTGATTTTATAAATACATTTCCTCCAAAAAGTGTGACTTATAGTCCTGTGCAACTTATGTTTTTTTTCTTCATTATGTATTTTTAACTTATTAACTTATACTCTGGAGCGACTTATTGTCCAGAAAATATGGTACCTCTAGACTAGAATAAGTGGTCTCAGAAGTAACAAGTAGATAATAAATCTGAAAAAAGCTTGGCCAGATCACAGAAATTTGCAGTGTATGACTATGAGTGGGCTTGCATCTCCATGAACCTGACTAATATGGTCTGGAGGAGGGCCTCCTCCTTCTTGTCTCCATGGAAATGTTTCTTTGGCTATTATATTCCACAGCAAGGCATAAAATGTATCTATCTCCATGGAGAATTTTCTGAAGTATTGCATTAACTTTCTATTTCCACTTTCCATGCAGATGACATGCCATTTCCCACGAGGTACACAGCAAAAAATAAAATGTTAAATAAGATAATATAGTAAATAAATGTTTTAATCATGTAGTAATATCTTGATTTGAGTATTTCAGCTGTCTGAAAATAAGATTTACCAATAAAACAAACACAAAATGTTTTATGTTTTACTAAAACAAATGCTACTGTAATGAGGAAAAAAATGTATTTGTTCTTTTGGTAAATCTTATTTTAAGACTTTTATACTCAAATAACTACCACCTGGTTCAAGCACTTATTAACTTCATTATCTTATTTAACATTTAATTTTTTGCAGCTGAAAACTAATATTCTGAGCACTCGGGCCTCTATAGGCTCTATTCATACACCACAAACCAAGAAGATGTATGGAAACATGCGATTACAACTTCTGGCGGGCTGGGTTTATAGTAGTAAAACCTAGGAAAAATTAGAAAATGCCCCAGTTTTTATCATCTAAATGTCATTGTAGTTTTCTTCATCTAAATGTCATTGTAGCCGTTATGTTCGGCTAATCAACAATTACAACCATAACTCAGTTTTCATCATTTCCCCACTGACACACAACTCCGAGTGCACTGACTACATGCGATTAGAAGAGATGAGGATGAAAAAATTCTAGATGATTCCAAACAGCACACATGTATGCAGTCTTCATTTTACCACTGATCACATTTACTTCAACGGGTTTGATCACAGTCGGTCGGCAAGCCCAGTGTCAGGAACTACACCGGAAGAAGCATGAATGAATCAAAATACAACCCTGTGTAAGTTAGGGGCAAAACCAATAGAGTACACAAGGATAGAAGGTTATAAAAAACCTACTGGAGTCAGGCACTAAAGTTTATCTTGGCCCAAACATAAGAACATTTATAATCAGATGGAATTTCTATAGAGCAGGGGTCTCCAACCTGTAGCTCGGGAGCTACCAGTAGCTGGCCACCCCCTTCAAAGCAGCTCGCCAAAAGATTTTGAAATTATCAAATTGTGTTGATGAATAACTTTATTTTTTATGCACATAAAGCATATGTCTCAACAATTAGTAGTAATGTAAAGTGGCAATTATTTTATTCCCCAACCTCCCCCTCCCATTACTCTCCTCCACTGTCTTCAGTGGAAAATAAATAATTCTAATAAAATAAAATATAAAAAAAAAAAAAAATAAGATGAAGAATTAAATAAATAAATATAGGAAAAAGAAGGAAATACTTTTTTTTTTTTAATAACAAAAATTTGGTTAATAACATGCCTATAACTATTGTAAATGTACAATTCTGAAACCCAACATTTTGAACTAATAAATGCACAGTGGTTTGTTTCATAGGGTCTAACTGTACCCAAAGTCTCGCCCTCTTTCTTATAATTGTCTCAGTTTTTGCAGCCTCTAAAATAAGTAGCTCTCCGGCATTTTTGTATAGTAAAGGAGCGCATCAGAGGAAAAAGGTTGGTGATCCCTGATATAGACAATCTTCTGCAGCTGTGTTTGACTGAGGTGAAATCATCAGTGGAGTGCTGCTGACACCTGGAGGAAGTCAGGAGAAATGCATCATCAATATCTACTATAAAATCAAACATTAAAGATTTTGGCCCTTCAAATGAGCAGTGTGAGATGGTAAAAAAATAAAATAAAATAATAATACTACTAATAATAATAATAAAGTTGATATTTCACCAAAATCTAAACTATGTTTTTTAATCCATACCATGCACAAATATATCTAGTTTTTTTATTTATTTTTTTTTTTTTTACTTATTCAGTTTCATGATTTATCTATGTAATTTTAAAATGATTTTATTATGACAAATGTTTCAAATCACATAATTGAATAAGAATGCCTGTCTTTTTTGCCATAAAATAAATAACATTGTAGTTCTGAACTAAGGCGTAGAGTATAAAAGGTCTCTACTGACATCCTGTGGATTATTGGAGAAATGTGTTTTACTTTTACTGATCAAAAGTTTTAATGCCAGTGAAATATGGTATGTATGTAGTGCAACCAAAAGGAATAATGGTTAAAAAAAAAAAAAAGAAAAAGTGTTAAAAATACAATTAACTTGAACTTTGACTAAATTTGACAGTATGGGCAGAACACTAAACAAGTGCAAAAACTAGCAGCCCCATATAGACCTGCAGAAGGGACCAGAACCTTTCGCCTTGGGAAAAATTGCTCAGACAGTCTGTGTTCAGAGTGTGAAGGGTCGGCTGTGATCGGACTCCTGCCCACGAATCCTGGAGACGTACAGGTCCTAGTAGCAGTTGTTTAAAGATCCTGTATTGTGCCACATTGACACTTGTGTGCTTGAAATTTGTATCATCTCCTCAAAAACAGACCTGGAGATGTGTTTTGTTTCATTCACACATTTGAGTAACCCTTTATTACTAGTCTGTCTACATCTGCAAAGCTCAAAATGCCCTGCTCCACCTTGTGATGTCATGAAGCCGTAGTTTTCAAATTAGCATCTTAATTTTACCTTTTGTTCAGTAGTTTGGCAATTCCAGAGCTGAAATCATCCAAATGATTCTAGTGAAGGTGTATGGAGTTTAAAAACACAGTGAAGCACTTCCTGTATAACCAATATAACATAGAATAATAGCGTAATGGCATTTTATATACTGGGGTTCCCACTTTCTCACTGACAAAATTTCAAAACTTTTCCATGACTTTATGACCTAAAGTGAATTTTCCATGACTTTACAGCGCCTACATGTGTAGAATTGAGCAGACTTTATGGGCTAAAAATGAAATGTTAACCCTTTCCACTCACCTTATGGTTTGGGATTATAGTTTTTTTGTTTTTTTCTTACATTCAAAATACTGTCAGTGCATTTATTGTCATCTCTTTTAAACAAAAGGAGCACACGTTTGGAAATAAGATATCATTAAGCTATTATGATTAACAGAACACTGTAGTTGTGTGAAAGAGATACTAAAATTTCATGACTTTTCCAGGATTTCCATGACCGTGGGAACCCTGTATATACTGATTTTTACACAATACTATACTATCATAAAATATAGGCCAAAACATGTTATGAATGTTACTTTTATTTACATCTGGTTTATGTTCACAGAAAATGGGAATAAGGCACTCAAAGATTTTTTTTCCCTTGCCACCTATAGACAGACTTACAGCCCAAGTTTCAGTACAGGCTCTAAAGTAAAATACTGCATATTCAGGTACATCTAATGTCACTTCCAAATCCTGTGTAGTCAATAAACAAAAGAATAATTTCAAGTAAACTTAACACAAGCTTTTCTCATCTTTGTTCAGGATCAAGAATCAACTAATACTTCAGAACGGTGTATCAGAACTTTAATATATTAACCTCCCATTTTAGAGAACACTTATAAAACAAACAAAAGGAGGAAGTCCAAAGAAATGTGCAGTTGGAGTTGTGCGAGTTGTGTGCACGGTGTGATCATGCCACAAACTTGTTCTTGGTGGTGGAGCTGCTCTTGATGGCTGTGTCTGCGTGAGACTGGTACCCGATGATCACTTTAGGAGGCACTCCTAACCTCTCCTTGTACACGCGCCTGCAAGTGGAAAATGGGTATCAATTAAGAAAACAAACAAACCAAAAAATAAACGCTAAGACCCTTTCCCAAAGCATTCCTACTCCTGCTGTGACGTCCCCTTTGGAGGCTCTTCGAGTTTAATGGCGGACGCTCATTCAGTGGTGTATTATAACGCCATCTTCTGTGTAGTTTAGTATTTGTGCTGCATAAATATTGTGACAGTGTTAAAATAAAATATAGTCTCCTTAATATTCCAGTCTACACCAGTGTCCTATTACAGTTAGCTTAGTGTAAAACTCTCTTTACTAGTGACGAACAAATAAGGCACAACGCTCACCAAAAGGCAATTTTTGTACATTTGTCCTGGATTTTTTTTCTTAATTTTGCAATTAAATCTCCCCATTTTACCCCTTAATCAAGTGTTAGACATCCTTTTTTCTTCAGTACAACCTGTTATTTCACAATCCGCTGCTGTAGTTGTGTCACATGGCTGTAATAAAAGCTACAGGACCAATACAAATAAAATAAAAAAATAATAATAAAAATAAAAAAGAAATAATACAATTCACACTTTCCATGCAAACCACACAGCAAACATGTATAAAGAACTTTTAGGACATACAAAATGCTTAATATAGGGCCTTAGCTACAAAAGTGCAAAACTATGAAGTCTGTAAGTAAACTAAAAATATCCTTATTGCCCTCAAAACAAAACAAAAGTGCAGTCGCCCCTTTACTTTCCTGGTGTCAGTCATGGAAACAGCTCGTGTCAGGTCCAGGGCACAGAGCCACATCACTTCCTACATTTCCATAGAATTTATTATATTTGGATTTGTTCATTTTGACTGAAATAAACCTTTCAAATAAAAATAGCAAGGGATATGTTCAATTACACAGACCAAGATGCGTAATTTTCCATTTATTTGAGAAATAACTGCACATAGAGCAGCTTTTTAAATTGTTGCGAACAGTTGCTCAGAGCAGTCGATCATTTTGACTCACTACACCAGGGGTGGGCAAACTTTTTGGCTCACAGTCCACATAGGGTCCTAAAATTTGACTGAAGGGCCGGACAGAACATTACATGTTAAGAGCTCGGCTCCATTGCACTTGTATTAACGCTCATGTAGAACATATTCTGCACTACGTGCTACAACTTTGATGCACAAGTTTCAGAACACATGAAAAGTGAATAGGTCTGCACCACTACAAGCAACAGGCGAGCGTGAGTCCTGAGCGATCAGATCTCATTGAAAAACAGAGCCCATGCAACAAGGCTACACGCGTAAACACCTACACGTGCAGTAAAACCAAACTTCTTAAACATTCCATGTGTTAAGATTTGTAACACAGCATCTGTAAATCTTTTGACATTGCTTTTAACCCACACAAAATGGAAACAGTGCAGCCTTATGTCTTGAACACTTCTACTTCACTCGTGGTCCAAATATGCCGCCCGAAAATGACTCCTGTCACTTTTCCATAAAGCATCTGCGGCCAACATGATAAGCCGCACCTCAATGTGTATATATATATATACACTCTTTGGCAAATTTGGGCCATTCAAAATGGACTGAGCGCATGCATTTGGCAGAAAAAGTTCCTATTGGACACTCGTTTTCCCAGCGTCATCAGAAAGCGTGCATGTGACAGGATAATGCTGGAAATATGTTCAGAAAGCCGAAAGTGTCAGCTTTAAGGAAAAACTAAATTTCTATCTTTTATGGTTGGAAAGTTATGTGCGGTTATGTAAAATATGTCAGTCAGTATCGTACACAATACTGTCGGTCTGGAAGGGTTAATCATTTTATAATCACCTCATTTTGACCCTATAACCTATAAAGATGATAGATGACGTTCATAGTACAGATTCAGATCAGCCTGATTATATCATCTTATCAGTGTCATCAATTAAAAAAAAGTCTAATATATTTATCTTGCTTCAAAACTTTCCAAACCCAAATAACTGCACCTTTCTTCTCAGCAGCCCTTTATCTTTAATTTATAAATGCTTAGCTGACCTTATTAATGACTAAATTATGAGGCTTACATTTCTACATAAACCTAAACAAGCATGGAAATACACTTGCACGTGGGGCTGCTGTCCTGTGTTACGCTGGATCATTTTGGACAGCACTATCCTTCATTGGGAGGCACAAATCCCAGTGTTAGGGCAAAGGAAAGAAGAGCAAGCCATTTGGGAAAGGCCCTAAGAGTGCTTTATCGTCCGATGGGCAACCTCAGTGCGGTGTGGTAGTGTCTTACCCTATGTGTGTGATGGCCTCCTTGTTCTCGTAGTCCGTGGTCCAGATGGCGATCTTGTCTCCTTTGGCGCGCACGTTGATGACCGCTCCACACACGTCGCTGCTGTAGTCGTCAAAAGCCTCTCCCACCAGGCACAGGAGCTGAGCACAAAGGGGAGGCTGGGGTCAATTTGTATCATTTAAGACAGGGACTCAAAAAGGCATAGGAACATTTTGGGCATAACCGTCTTATAAAAATCTACTGAAAGCTTTAATATGCCTGCCATGTAGTGTAATGTTCTGTATATAAGCCTGTGTCCTACGCACAGTCTCGAGCCAGAAGTGGTCCAGGTCGGCTTTGCGCTGCTGCTTGGACAGAGTGATGAGCCAGCGGCCTCCTCTGCGGTTCCTCTCATCCTCCCACATGGGTTCGATGCCATCCTGCACCAACAACCAAGAGCAACACATGTCAACACGAGCTCCTACTGACAACTGCGTTTTTGTCATTAATTAAAAGAAGGCAGGAGACGGTGGAGATTAAAACTACATCAGTCAGTTCTGACCAACTGATGAACACTACATTTCTGTTTCAGGCCAGTATTTCACAAATCTTTTACACCAAGCACCACGTAATATAAACCAGATCTAAACCTGGCCTATACCTGGTCTAAATTAGGGCCAATGTGAGATTAAAACATGGATAAAGTACTGTATTTTTCAGACTATAAGTCGCTCCAGATATAAGTAGCACCAGTCAACAAATGCGTAATGAACAAGAAAAAACATATATAAGTCACACCGGACTATAAGTTGCACTTTTTGGGGGAAATTTATTTTATAAAATCAGAGACCAGGAACTGACATTTCATCTTGAAAGGCAAGCTATAGTAACAACAGGCTGTCAACAGGCTGTTAACATCACATATGAACAGTTCTTCAGATAACTATAGAACAACAGAACAACTTTACCAAACTCTCCATCTCACCCCAAATCACTAAATCCACTGAATTCTTCATCCTCAGTGTCACTTCTGAGCAACTCTGTGACCTCTGGAGGTAAATGGAGTGCCGCTTCCTCTTCTGCGTGGCCATCCTCAGACTCAGCATCAGTTCCAGTTACAATTATTCTGGCCTTTCTGAATCCTGACAGGATGGTTTCTGTTGTCACTGAAGTCCAGGCTTTGTCACCCCATCCTATGACTTCCAGGAAAGTTGCATATCTCACCCTCCCAGTTGTCTCAAGTTTTTCTTTCACGCCAAACTTTCTTTCTGCTGCTGGATTACTGTTTTCTGCTGCATATTTTGCTACTTGCAGCTTGTAATCTGCAAAATATGATTTTCTTTTTGGGGCATTTGTGTTCAATCCTCTCAGTTGTCTTTATAAGTTTGTTTAAAGTTTCAGTGGTACAGAAGTAATTAGATCGACTGACATGATACAGACAGGACAGCGGCTCTTTCTGCAGGAGACAAGCGCAGTAGAGTGAAGTGACAGTGGTACAGGAGGAACAGGAGCGGCAGACACTGGCACCCAAGCCTAGAGTGCCCTCCAGCAACTGTCAGTGTGAAAATTTTAATATGTAAGTCGCAGCACCAACTAAACCATGAAAAAAAAGTGCAACTTAAAGTCTAAAAAATATGATAGTTCTAAATAATGCTTCTCCAAAAGGACAATTTGTCTCAAACTAAAACAAATACTCAAACAGCAGAAGCCCTAAACACCACTAAAAGGTACACAAATAAACACTGCTCTTTGCCATGTCTGGAACATGTGGCATAATTGGTACTAAAGAGGTGAAAAATAAACTTACTTAGCTAAATTTGTTTCTCATAGATTAAATTTTAGACAAATCCAAGAAAAAGTATAATTTGTATATAAAAGTACAATTACATTAAAATATTGATATCAACTCAAATGTACAAAAACAAATGGAGATAGTGTAAATTCAAAGTAGAAGCTCTAACTTCGCTTCCATCTACCTCAGACGCCTCAGACATCACCACCTCACTCCCACCTCCTCCTCATCCAATCAGCCCAGTTCACCCAGTTTTAAACCCCCATTGCAGATACCCGGCTGCTTCGGTTTGTGCTACGTAACACCTCCACCCCAGCACCACCTCATCCTCTCATTGTCCCCTACACTCTCTTCGGCCTCAACTCTACCATCTCCAGTGCCCAGTTCTATTAGTGGAGCAGATGAGGTCTCCAAACCACAAGAATCGTTCAGTTAGTGGTACAAGCACCAAATTTCTCACATTTAGCTAGCATCATGCTCTTTTAGAAAAACCCCTTTGCCACCTGAAATATTCAACATTGTGGCCATTTTTCAAGATGGCCGACCAAACAACTGATTTCACATAAGTATGAGCTAAAAGACAATAAGTCATCATGTTCTTAATCAAAATTATTGGAATAAATCACAAATTTGCAAATATATACATATACAGTAATGCAATGTCAGGTATTCAACAAATTTTACATCAAAATATATTTCATTTTGCACAAAATTCATTAAATTTTCTCAGAATTTGAAACCAGAAGTATCCCAATAACCATTTGGGAAGAAGAAAGAAGAAATTAAAACATGAGCAAAATTAAAATAAAATGCAACATATTGACATAGGTTAATTTCAGAAATAGAGCCATTAAAATATAACCATTCATAGAGCTGTATGTGCTCAGGAACTAACAAAAAAACACAATAACGTTTTTTGTTTTTTTTTTCATTTTTGTTAAACTTTGCTTATTGACCTTAATCATTGCAACTGCAACCACAAAGCTGTGTGCAATTTAAACCCAGATGAAAACATTTACACCTACCACAACAGTCTCCTTTACAACCACATTTGGTCAATTGTTGACAGCTTTGACTAATATATAATACTATATACTATACTAATACATACTACACTAATAATATATTATACCCACTATTCTTTGGGTTGCATGAATAATGAGTTGGAGAACACTTAAGATCCTAATTTTTGTCATTCTGACAAAGGCAACATTTACTCCAGTCAGTTTTTGTTGCAATGCTGAGTTTAGATTTTGACAACAGTTTAGGCTGAGGGGCTGTCCTTTTACCACCTTACCATTCATTTTATTGTTTCAATTAGCACATTTGTGTATGGGATACAACTAGGTTCAAGCTATTTTGCTCTACACCTGGCCCGATCGTTCATCCAGTGCCATTTCAGTCCCGTGCGATTTGTGCACCATCCAGGTAACAAAAGCCCTATTACCCTTAGCTTGACTCTCCCGCGCTGGCACATCCTGTCAATTCAGGTACAGCTATCTAACTTTAATACTACAACTAATATTAGTATAACTAATACTAAAACTACTAGCTGGTGTATTTACAGGGATAATTAGATAGCATTTGGGACACTACATCATGCTACATTAACTACATTAAATATTAGAATGTTAGTAACACTACATAGTCGACACTGAACCCCATGCTGAGTTTCACAGCAGCAGAGTCACCAGCATGCCCTGGTTGTGCTACAATCCCACCCATTCTAGAATAAACACATATATATTCTAACAAAAACATATTTTAGCACATTGGTACTACATATATTTAATATTTCTTCAGGTAAGTTTCAATAAGATTTGTCCATGAGATTTCTTTCTACTGTGTGTTATTATTTAATGACATTTAATTGTAGATATTATAAATATAATGAAAGTTGATAAATAACCATCAAAAATGATTTGATGAATAATTTCACTCAAAATAGAAATAATTAAATAACAAACCTATGCTTCGACATTTATACATATATTGTTATATATAGTTATTATACATATATATACCATCTTGGATATTTTTGGTGGCTAATGGGCTTTTCATAAAGACCATGTTATTATCCATCTCCACTCCAAATTTGATGCTTGTACCACAAACTGAACAATTATTTCAACTACCAGCTCCACTATATAGACACTAGCTTACAGATACTATGCTTGTATAAAATGTAATATTACTGAAAGGAATGAAGGATCTACTGGGGTTTTCATATGGTCTGCCGTATTTTCTGTAACAAGGATTAATATAGTTGAGTCTCAGTACATCCAAGACGGTTGTAATTAACAAGCCAGCGGCTAGGTCAGGAATCAGAACACACTTGTAGGTTGTAGGCCAAGCAATAATGTGTCCTACCACAATTATGCAGATGACACTCAGATCTACGTCTCTCTGGCAGCAGGAGACTATGGACCAGTGGACTCACTTGGTCATTGCATCCAACAGATCAGTGTGTGGATGCAAAACAACTTTCTCCAGCTAAACTCTGACAAGACTGAAGTCATAGTGTTTGGTCCACAAAAACAAAGGGACAGTGTCAGCAGTCACCTCCAGTCTCTCTCTCTAAAACCTTCAAATCAGGCAAGAAATCTAGGGGTAATAATGGACTCAGACTTGAACTTTAACAGCCACATCAAATCAATAACATCTGCAGCCTTTTACCATCTAAAAAACATAGCAAAAATCAAAGGTTTACTGTCTAAATCAGACTTGGAGAAACTTATCCATGCGTTTGTCTCCAGTAGTTCCCGTTTACGTGACTTCCGTGACTGCGATACCGAACTTTTGCACCGGGTACGTACTGAACTAGGACTGATCCAGGTCCGAGACCAGATCGAGACCAGAGCGGGACTGAGAGCGGGACTGAGACCGGGACCAGACCAGGACCAGAGCGGGACCAGACCGGGACCAGAGCGGGACTGAGACCGAGACCACACCGGGACCAGAGCGGGACCAGAGCGGGACCAGAACGGACTCAGAGTTTTGACTCCGAGCCTCCACGGGGTCCGAGCCTCAGCTTCGAGCTCCGGCCCTGCCGTGGGCTCTGAGCCTCCGGACTGGTCCGGTCTGGTCCTGGTCTTGTCTCGGTCTCGGTCTCAGGCCCGCTCTGGTCCCGGTCTGGTCCCAGTCTCACCGCATACGGACTGAATCAGGACAGATCCAGGTCCGAGACCAGACCGGGACCAGAGCAGGACTGAGACCGGGACAGAGCTGCTCTGGTCCTCCGCGCTCAAGAACCGCGGCTGGTTCCGAGGTGGTGCAAAGCCTCCGACTGACACATTCACACCAATGAAAATGAATCAAACTAAGAGCTTTTGGTTCAAATGGACCAGGTCCGGGACCAGACCGGGACCAAAGCGCTACTGAGACTGGGACCAGACCAGGACCAGAGCGGGACTGAGACCGGGACCAGACCAGGACCAGAGCGGGACTGAGACCGGGACCAGACCAGGACCAGACCGGGACCAGAGCGGGCCTGAGACCGAGACCGAGACAAGACCGGGACCAGACCGGAGGCTCAGAGCCCACGGCAGGGCCGGAGTCTCAGTCCCGCCCTCGGTCTCAGCCCTGGTCCCGGTCTCAGTCCCGCTGGTCCCGGTCTCAGTCCCGCCCTGGTCCCGGTCTCAGTCCCGCCCTGGTCCCGGTCTCAGTCTCAGTCACGGTCTCAGTCCCGCCCTGGTCCCGGTCTCAGTCCCGCCCTGGTCAGGTGGTCCCCTCAGTCCCGCCCTGGTCCCGGTCTCAGTCCCGGTCTCAGGTCCCGGTCTCAGTCCCCTGGTCCCGGTCTCAGTCCCCCTCTGGTCCCGGTCTCAGTCCCGCTCTGGTCCCGGTCTCAGTCCCGCTCTGGTCCCGGTCTCAGTCCCGCTCTGGTCCCGGTCTCAGTCCCGCTCTGGTCCCGGTCTCAGTCCCGGTCTCAGTCCCGCTCTGGTCTCGATCTGGTCTCGGACCTGGATCAGTCCTAGTTCAGTACGTACCCGGTGCAAAAGTTCGGTATCGCAGTCACGGAAGTCACGTAAACGGGAAACGGCCGTTATCCGTTTTTTCCATTCTTCATTTAAACACAAAATCGAAAACTGAAAAAACGAATCGTTATCCGTTTTTTCATTTTGGTTTTGGAGACAAATAACGAAGAAAACTGTTGTTTTTTCGTTTTCTTATTTTTAGTTTTATATTGAAAAACGAATGAACGAATGATACACGGATTGAATTGTGCTATACAAATAAACTTAACTTGCCTTGCCTTGCCTAGGCCGCGCACCGGCCAATCAGTGAAGAGCTGTGAAGCCATGACGTCAAACTCAAACTTTTGTGGTACAGCACAACAGTAAACAAAGCAGTCGAGATGGATGTAGACAAAGACAGACATTCTGCGTTGGCAAAGATTCCCGAGATCGAGAATTTAAAGCCAGAACAAAGGGAATGTTTAGTGAATTTTATCAAGGGGAAAGATGTTATTGCCCTACTTCCTACAGGATTTGGCGCATTATATGTCACGACCAAATAGCAGGGACTGGTTAAATAAAAAAAGCACCTGCCTACCATCAAGCGAAGGAATCCTAAAGCTGCGAGATCAGACGGTTTCCACAAAGTGAAACTGGCTGATCAATCAGACTACTAATTAACCACTTCATGGTTTGAACTTTGAATATACTCCACGTTATGCTTTTATGTCTGAGGGACTACAGTGTCATTTTATTATTGTCTCTCCATTTTATAATCACCATATTGCCCTGCCCTCATGATGACAAATACATGCACAACAGGCTGACCTTAAAGAGGGAGTAGTCACAGCCGGATGTGAGGTTACTGGACAGCTGGATGTGGTTGTACAGTCTGTGGACAGAGCAGGACATTTTAATAACACAGACTCTCAGTCAATCAGAGAACAGAAGAGAAAACCGCACTGCTCACGCCCAGAAGTCTTCTACAGTGTGAAACTTGGAGATGAGCCGGAGGTTGGCCTGCCACGTCTTACTTTTGTCATTTTTGAAAAACCAAAGGGCCCACCTGCAAACAACAGGACACTTATTACACAGCTGTGGTAGCTCTAATACAGTTTTTGTTCTTTGTAGTAAATATTTTTGAAAAGTTAGCCATTTAAGATGTGGAAATTGTTCTAATAATTGAATACAGCATTTTTGTTTAACACCTTTTGGCATGTTTGTGTGATTCAAAAGCATTGTTAAATGATGCACTGTGTAACTTTTCTGCTAGATGGGTCATATGCATGGAGTTATAATATTGCTCTAGCTGGAATGAACTGTATTAAACTTGTCCATACGTGACACTAACAGGCCAAGTTACAGGTCAGATCTGTGGAGAGGTGACTCCATACACAGTAAATAGCATTTTATACATAAACTGATGTATTAAAGTTAGCAATAAAACACCAGTTGAACTGAATAAATGCAAGACAGAAGTAGGTTTTATGCCACACTGTGGAATATTCGAGGCAAAAAAAAAAAAACATTGCCATGGAGACAAGCAGAATAGTTGAGGAGTGCATTTTCATTTTCCAAGAAGTTGATATCGTCTCAAGCACACATCCAGGCAAAAAAATAAATAAAAATTACACACACACACATACATACACTAAAATGTACAAATTCACATTGAACATACCTGTTTTGAAGTGGGTGCTTGATGTACGCCTCTGGACTGACAACTTTTGGAGCAGCTTTTTCACACTTCTCCTTTTTTGGATTTGTAGGAACTGTGGTTGACACCTACAATGGCAAAACAAAACTACAGTGAATTTAATTAACCTTTTGGCCCATTGAAATGTTATGTTATTCATTACTGACACAATTTCACTGACAAATGTGACAGTTGTTTAGAAATGAATAAATTTTTTTTTTATCAAGAAACAATCTGTCTTGACGAAGGAACAGTGGTAACTTAACACTTTTAATACTTTATGTTTTACTGTAACTCAACTTATTGTGAACATTTTGTGGCATTTAGACAGTCAACAGAACTAAATAATTTTACATTAACAATCAACTTTATTACTCGAAAACATCAATTGGTTGTTTTCAGATTCTAGAAAGTGATTATTATGACCAGATGGGGGGACATGAGACATTGGGACATTCCTCGATAAATGGCTGGGTTATTAATGACAACACAACATTACAGATCAATAATACTGAATAGAGATGGGGCATTTGTTAAGATGTTTGTTGTAATACAGTGAATTATTTTGTCTACCCTCAAATATGAATGATCAGGTTCAACATTTTGGACATTTCCTGGCAATGCACAATGTAATCCCCCCATCTGTGAGTATAACATCACCGTCTAGAATCTGAAAAACACCAATTGATTACAAGTTTTGCCATGAAATATCCGAAAGACAAGTTGAATCTGAACATTTCTATTTCTGAATAGAGCCACAAACTCAGTGTATCACTACAAAAATCTGCAACAATATTAATTTTAACTGCACGTCTGTTTTAAGTATTGCAATCTGAAACCCAGCAATACATTTTTGACTCCGAGATGCTCTTTGTAACTATGCCAACAGTTATCCAATTATTGTGAATATTTCTGTAGCATGTATACAGTAAACAGAACTAATTAAAAACTTAATCATCAGCTTAATTACCCCAAACTGTCAATAAGATTTTTTTTTTCAACTGTCTCTGTAGTGTAAATAGTGAAAAGTTTGCTCTGTGCCAAGTTAAAAACAACATTTGACAACATTTTCCACATGAAACTTAACCAAAACTATTTAATACTCAGTCTAAGATAGGGTAACCAGATTTTCAAAACCAAAAGCTCTGTTGGTAATAATAAAATTGTGAAATGAGAGTATAGTACAGTCACATTTCCTTTGTGGTTTGGTCATTTTTAAGCATGCTTCACTGTATTTTATCTAAATTCACAACTTGTGTCTCTTTACTGTTGGGCAGGGACCAAATTGGTCAAAAATGGGGACACATGGGACATTTCGTTTATAAAATGATGATGATGAGTGTCTGGAGTAGGGATGGGCATTCGATGAAATTTTCTTAATCGATCGTTGGAAGAATTAACGATCGATTATCGATTAATCATTAACGTTTTTATATTAAAATGATCATCATTATTATTACTATCTGCACTACTAATCTGCATAAATAAATTCAATTTTACGACATATAAACCGTAACGACTCTAGAGCCACATCAATCCGTTTGACATTATAATGTGTTTAATTCAGTTCTGAGCAACTCTCACAGAAACGAAACTTAAAACCGCATCGCCAATTTGCATAAACTAAGAAGATAAAACTACAGCTCTTGTGTCGCTGATGCGGTCAATTTCTGTCGGATTAAAAGACATGATTCAGTGGAATACAGGTTAGTGTGACCATATTTGCGTTTGTCAAAACCAGGACACCGTACGGGGGGTGGGAGGTCGGGACTCGTCATCGACATTGCGCGACTCTCACCTGGTAAAGCTTTTTCATACTGGACACCGAAACATATGTTCCTGCTTTGTACACTGTGCACATGGACTCACACTTGTCCCGAACGCAACGGAAAGTGTGGAATTTCTTATACAAATCATTGTTAAATACACATTTGTGCTTCGGTACGCTGCAGACTGACCGACTGTTTGTGTCTCGCTCCTTCTGAGTGCAGAGAGACACATGTACGGACCCCTGTTTGGTCACGCTACGCACAGCAACCTACATTCGGTTTGTCGATTAAAATTAACGTAATCGATGAAATTCTTAATGATCAATTATCGATTAATCATGCCCATCCCTAGTCTGGAGAAAGTGTGATGTTCTGCTTGAATAAACTGAATGATGATTTTGATAAAGGATGGGGATTTTAAGGTGCTGAGTGAACTGGGTGTGAATGAGGATACAGAATTGTTATGATGCTCCGGTCATTATAAAGACATTCTCTTTATATGGTTGATTTTATGAACAATAACATTAATCCGCCCAAGGACTACAGTACAAGTGGAAATTAGCGCTGGGGCTAAAACCTGGCACAATGCATCTCTATTGTTAAGGTTAATGTATATTATGCACTGTCCCTGTGTCAAATAAATAAACTAAACTGGGACAAATCAACGGTTTTGGATAAATTTGCTGGGACAGGGGACGCAAAAGTGGGCCTTCCGGGTAAATAGGTACGTCTGGCAACTCTAAATCGTGCATATGTGCAAAACTACCAAACATTGCAATTAGGCTACTGTTATTTAAATTTTGAAAGCGTTTATATTTGTGCAAAGTAGTTTCTGTTGTGAAGTGAACGTGGACCGGGGCGCGTCTTTTCAAACGCCGGTATTACGCGTAACCGTAGCTGGATTAGGAGGGGATAAACAGCTCAATAAATGACTAGCTAAGTGATAATTAAAATCTTTTGTTTGGATGTGTAAAGTTAGGGATGCACTCACCACCAGAGCGGTCGCCATCTTCTGTGATCTCGCACTTTTGGAGCTTGAGTTCAAATACTGATTGGAGCCATTGGAGCAGGTGGGTTTCGGCACGGCGCATGCGCGTACACAGCTGGAACACTTCCTTTTTTGAACAATAATTTATCGATCATTTTTTTCTGTAATTCTATAATATAATTTTTTTAGTAAAATTTTACTACACTAAAATAAAAGCTTATTGTTATCAGTTTTAATCGTTTTATTTATTTTGGTAAATATATATATATATATATATATATATATATATATATATATATATATATATATATATAGGTAAAAGTAAATATTTACTTAAATTATAGACCTAAACAGTTTCCACAAAATCCTTATCTGCTATACTTAAACAGCCTTTCATTGTAATGAATATTTCCAGTAGGGACGGGCACGTTAACGCGTTAACTTTGCGTTAACTAATTAAGTCATTAACGCCGACAATTATTTTAACGCCGTTAACGCAGTTTTTTATTATTTATTTATTTTATTGTAAACGTCTGTTTCTCACTGGCTTTTATTGTGAAAAAGTCCACCGCGAGCGTTTCTTTAAGTTTGACGTCTTTTCTTTACACTTTTTTCACTTTTTTCTGACCACGTGAGATGCAGCGGCTCCGGCCGCGGGCTCCGGCTCCGGCCGCGGACTCCGTTAGTTCAGTGCTGGAGTCACTGATTTACCCAGATACCACTGGAAGAAAAAATGTGATTGGTCCATTTCCATTCCATTATATTAACCCTTTGTTTCCTAAGAAATATCAGTCCAAGTTTGTAACACTGATCTAGAAATTATTACTAGTGTAGTGTTCATTACTCACAGCATAAAAAATATTCAATAAATATATTAGTAGTACAAACGTCCATTCAGTATTTTTTCTTGAGCCTTCACTGAATGCCTTGAAGGCTCTGAGGTTCCCCTGTGAAAGAAATGCTGTTTGCACAACAAATGTGTGGCTCTTTCATGTACATTTCCAATAAAAGAGCGCTATACTCTACTTTTTAATTCATTAATTGATTTTGCGTATAACATGCGATTAATCGTGATTAATCGCTCAAACTCATGTGATTAATCGCTAATAAAAAATATATATTTTTGCCCAGCCCTAATTTTCAGTAATCTACAAGTGTATACATAGGCCTATTTTACCATTTATTCTTACAGAAGGCAAGTTGATTTGTATAGCACAATTTGTACACAAAGTAATTCTAAGTGCTTTATAGGATAAGAAATATATTAAAATCCCAATATAAACTAATCAAAATATAAATAATCATCATAAAATAAAAAATGAGAGAGACATTAAATTAGAGAGAAGAGTGAAGAATGAAAACTTTTCAGTCATATGCAGCTAAACAGAACTGTTTTGAGCCTGGATTTAAACAAAGTCAGAGACAAAGTAGAGATCTGTCTCACATGTTCAGACTCTTCCAGGTTTTAGCTGCATGAATTTCAAATGCTGACTCCCCGTGTTTAGTCCTGACTCTGGGCACCAGCAGGAGGTCGGTCCCTGGGCTCCTCAGAGTGTGAGATGGTTCATATGGCACTAACATGTCACAGATGTACTTTGGTGCTCGGCCATGCAGAGCTGCTTTAAAGTCTCTGAGCCACAGGATCCAGTGCAGAGACCTGAGCACAGGACTTATGTGCTTTTTCGAGTCAAGATCCGAGCTGCAGTGTTCTGGATGTTCTGCAGTGTCTCACAGCTCGTTTGGAGAGAACAGTGAGCAGACCATTATAGTAGTCTAACCTATTGGAGACAAACATATGGATAAGTCTCTCCACGTCTGCTTTAGACAGTAAACCTTTGATTTTTGCTGTTTTAGATGGTAAAAGGCTGCAGATGTTATTGATTTGATTGTGGCTGTTAAAGTTTAAGTCTGAGTCCATTATTACCTTTAGATTTCTAGCCTGATTTGAAGGTTTTAGAGAGAGAGACTGGAGGTGACTGCTGACATTGTCTCTTTGTTTCATGGGCCAAAGACTGTGACTTCAGTCTTGTCAGAGTTTAGCTGGAGAAAGTTGTTTTGCATCCACACACTGATCTGTTGGATGCAGTGGCAGAGTGAGTCCACTATGGTAGGATACATTATTGCTGCGTATTAACTGCTCTAACAGCACCCCACAGGTCAGGGTCATGTGATCTGAGACACAGTTTCCAATTTCAACAAATACTTCCTGTCCTCTAGATAGGACTTGATCCAATTTAGTGCAGCACCAGAGATGCCCAGCCAGTCCTCTAGTCTCTGTAAGAGGATCCCATGATCGACAGTGTCAAAAGCAGCACTCAGATCTAACAGGATCAAGACTGAGACTTTGCCTGCATCAGTGTTCAGGCGGATGTCATTTGTCACCTTGATAAGAGCAGTCTCAGTGCTGTGGTGGGCTCTAAAATCTGACTGGAAAACATCAAAGGAGTTGTTCAATTGGAGAAAGTTTGTAAGCTGTTGGTAAACAGCTTTTTCATGGACTTTGCCAAAAAACAGCAGATTTGGGATGAGTCGGAAATTGTTCAGTACTGTGGCATGAAGACTGCTCTTCTTTAGGAGAGGCTTAATGGCCGCAGTTTTCAAAGCTCGTGGGAATGTTCCAGATTGAAGTGACGTTAACTATATGAGTGAACAAACTGTTGAGGACGGACTTCAGAAATCTAGTGGGGAACACATCGGGGCAGCGTGCATATGGACTCAGACTGGTGACGATCTTTAAGACAGTTTTATCAGTTACAGGTGCGAAGTGGCTCTGCTTTAAGTGTCTCTGTGGCCGCATGCTTGTTATTTGCGTTGTGGAATTGATGACATTTTTAGTGCCGTGAACCTTGAGAGGCTTGTGAGTTAGTCACTCTCACCTTTTTTGTTGAAAATCAAACACCTAAAGAGGACCATGAACGTTTGGTACTGATCAGTCCTGAAAATGTGCTGTTTAAATCCATTTGGTATTTTTCAACAGTGTTTCCCAATATGTGCATTGTGTCACCATTATAACTGCTGAACATTTCTGTATATACTGTGGTCCAAAGCAAGAAAAATGTTGTGGTTTTTTTGCAGAAATTCAATTTAAAATAAAAAAAAAGCTTTTGGACATCAGCCATCTAATGCTGCTGAACATTCAACCACAGAGATACATGCCACTGCAAAATATCAGTAAGACAGAACCACTGCACTCCAGTACACTGCTGGAATAATGTGTTTAAATAACTATATGTGCATTTAAATTTGACCAAAAAAGAAGCAATTAGCAATAGTCAGTCGCATCCATAAAGTCCAGTGAATGACAAAACAAAATAACCACACACACACAATTTTCAAACCAATTTACTTTTTAGTTCAAACTTCTTTTTTCTTAAGATTAGAAAACAAACTAACAGCGTAAATTAGCATTCACAGTAAGACAAATAAGTGCTGTTATGATTGTGTAAAGGCCGGATGTGAAAGGGCTGGTTGTGTGGCACTTCAGAAGGTCAGGACCGTACGGATACTAGAGGAACAGACAAGAAAAGATGTGATCAAATAACATGACATCTACAGAAATATATATCAAATCCAATATTAACAGCCTAATCAATTGTGCAATGATAGTGAACCTGCTATACTGCTGTATTTTTTTTTTTATTATATAAGCTTCTATTACGGTGTAGAAGGGTTAAAAGGGGAAAAGTGTCTTGCCCAGAAACTAAAAAACAGTAGCTTATGTGCTTGGGTGAGATTTGAACCTGTCACTTTATGGTTAGATGGTGAACACCTCCCAGAACTACTGGTGATACAGCATATTTAGTTAGGGAAAAAAAGTAACACCAAAAGAATGTTAATTTTAGATGGTGCTAAATTCTTGAAAAACTTGATAATGGCCTAAAGTTAAAATTGAAAGACAGAAATATTTGGGGAGCCAAAGTCTCAAAAGCTCAAGAAAATAGGTTGAACCTGAAAAATGGGTTTGGTGAAAAGAATGACATATTGGCTGATGTCAAAACTTGGGGGAATAGTTGATTGCCAATGATGTAAAGATGAAAATACTGGAAAAAAAGTGAAAGTTAATTGCATTAAATTGAGCCAAAATCATGTGTTTTAAGAATTATTTTTTTCACTGAATGTTGTCACCACATGTGCTCTTTGCATCTAGAATGCATTTATTAACAGCTTACCCAACCCACTGAGGATTTCAGGAAATTTTCATTTTTCATAATTTTCTATCAAAAAATTAAGGTTGCATACAGTAAAATGGCCACATTTTTTCCTCCCGATATTTCCGGAAGAGCAGACCCTCCAATTATTAGTCCTTAAGGTCACAGTTAACAAAAAATAACACAAATAACATGTATGGCAGACGATGTCAGGTTCAACCCATTTTCGAGACTTTGGCTCCCCGACTAAAAGTTCAATTTCTTCTGTCAGTACAGCCACAAGGTATTTTTTCTTCAGTGTGTATGAATCTTTTGTAAAGACAGATAATTGTTAAGATTAAAAAACAACACACACTACCGGTCAAAAGTTTTAGATTACCCAAATTCTTCCAGTTATTTACTGAAATTCAAGTCGTGCAAGTCCAATGAAGAGCTTGAAATGGTACAAAGGTAAGAACTGAACATCCAGAAGTAAAAAAAAAAAAAAAAAAGATTAAAGATAAGAAAACACAAGTCCAAGCTCTGCCAAAACTACCTCAGGAAAAAAGAACAGGATGGTGAGCTTGAAAACATGGAGTCTCCAGCACAGTCTCGAGACTTAAACCCCATCGAGCTGGTTTGGAATGAACAGGACAGAAAAGTGAAAGCCAAGCAAGCTACAAGTGCCACACATTTATGGGAACTTCTGCAACAGACTTGGGATGAACTTCCTGAAGAATATTTGATTTCTATTGTAAAAAGAACGAGCCACGAGTGTGTTCAGCTGTTATATCTGCCCAAGGCAGACACTTTCATGAATCAAAATTTTAGAATATATTTTGGTCAACAGTAAACATTAAACAGTAATAAAATGGAAAAAGTGTGGTGTTCTCAAACTTTTGACCAGTAGTGTAAATATGACGTATTTGTTGATTATCTGTCTGGTTATTTCAGTTCATTGCCATA